GTTAAGGGCATTGGATTCCCACATGGCTGACCAGGGTTCAGGTCCCAGACCTGGTGGCTTGCTTTCTTACTTTCCTCTCGCTCTCACTCTGTCCCTCTCTGAAAAATAATAATTACTTATTGGATAAGCAAATGAATGAAAGAATGAATAGTTGCCCCCCCCTTTTTGGTATTAAACTGCTCTTTACTTTATTCAAAGATACAATGCCTCTAAAACTGATTGTACACCTCCATATCTGAAACTTGAGATATTTTATCTATGTTATTTCAGATCATATACACACACACACATCTCAAAACAGGTATTATCCAAATACCTATATACTTGGATATAGGATTTTTTATATGAAATTATCTTTCAAATTTTGCTATAAGATGAATGTACTCACTGGAGAGAAACAGAGAAAGAGTGAAACAGAGAGAAAACAAGAAAGCATTCCCCCAGAGGGGATGACAAAGTCTCAATCCTTTCTCCTCCATTCTACTCTCAGGATCTTTGGCACATACATAGTGTGTCTTTCAAGCCACTGGGTCTGGGACTTGAACGGTGCAGTTGGCCATGTGGGATCCAGCCACCTCAACCACCATGCCACCAGTTGGCCCTATATGGGATTTTTTAAAATATAATTTACCAGGACCAGCAGATGGCATAATGGTTACATAGCTGGACTCCCACATGGGCCAACATAGTTTGAGTCCTGGACCCAGTGGCTTGAAATTCATGCTGGTGTGCATGCATGCTCAAAATCCTGAGAGAATGAAGAAGGGATTGTGCCATGGCCATCCCCCCCCAGCTCGTTTTTCTGTCTCTCTGTCTGTCTCTCTATCTCTCTGGTGAGCCCTCACACCCTATAGCAAAAATTTCTCATTGAAAAAATCATTTTAAAAAAGAGACTATCGGTTGGCATAATGGCTATGTCACTGGGCTCCCATGTAGTCAACCACGATTCAAGTCCCAGACCCAATGGCTTAAGTTCATGTTGGGCGTGTGTGTATGCATGCCCAAGATCCCGAGAGGAGGATAGAGGAGAAGGGATTGCAGCATGGCCATCCCTCCTGGGGGGGTGACTTCTCACTTTCTGTCTCTCTGTCTCTGTCTCTGTCTTTCTGGTGAGTGCACATGCCCGATAGCAAAAACTTCTTCAGAAAAAATTATGTATACATATACATAACCACCATGCCACCAGTTGGTGTATATGTAATTTACCTAGCATGTTACCATGGTATAGAAGTGGCTCCAGGAAATTTGCTAATTTACTCAAGATTACATAATTAGAAGCTGGCCAAGCTGAAATTCAAGCCCAGGAGTTTTTCATCCCATAGCCTTTGCTGTTTCCACCACACTACCCAGTCCAAAATGGTGCCATTCCGAAGACACCTTCATGGCTCCTGAGAACTAATGATTTCAGGGAAAAAAGAGAAATGAAGATTTTCCTACTGATAATTCAGCCTCCAGCCCACAAACTCAAGTGGTAGGAAGCCCCTCAAGCCTTCTTTCTGTCTCTGTCTCTGTCTCTATCTCTGTCTCTCTCTGCCTCTGTCTCTGTCTTCTCTTTTTTTTGTAATTTTTTTTCTTTTTAAAATTTTTTAAGGTAAAGTCTTTTTGCAGCTTTCAGTCCCTCCTTTACTTTTATCTTGTTAATAATCCCCTCTCCCCCTCCCACCCAAAAAAGGCAAGGGGCAGGCCTTCAGAAGAAGACACCTTCATGGCTCCTGAGAACTATGCACCACATGGTTTTCTATTTTTTGCTTTTTTTAAAAAAAGATGATTTTTAAGTTGTTTTGTATTTTTTCCTTCTTTTTTTCTGTTTCTTGGTTGTTCTTGTTTTTCCTCTCTGTTTCCTTTTCTTTTTCTTTTACCTCATCTCTCTGCTCTTCAATCTCCATTCACTGTGTTTCTAGATGGATCTAAGGGAACTATAGCCAAACATCCAAACATTATTAGGGTTAACATATTCCTAATATCTACTGAATCTGCTGCACAAAGGGATCAAAATGGATCGGCAAAGAGATTTTAGACCACCTCTTTCTGCACGCTCCTGAACACTCAGATTGAATTTCAAGTTTATAAAGAAACACACCATTCATCAGATGACTAGAAATCACCACAGGGCCACAAGAAATATGGGAAAGCAAGAAGATACCTCTTTTCCAAGGGAAAAGAATAGCTCCTCTTCATCCACAGACAGTTCAATGGAAATGTCTGATAAAGAATTTAGAGTAGTCATAATGGCAAAGCTAACAGAGATGGAAGAGAAGAGAGACAGTGAACTGCAGAAGAGAAAGGAGAAAGGAGCTGTTGAATTCCAGGAGGTGAGGAAATTCTTGCAAGATCTAAAAGAGGAATTACACATTTTAAAGAAGAATCAAATGGACCTGTTAGAGATGAAGGCTATAATACAGGAAGTCAAAATCTCCCTCGAAAGTATTAAAAGCAGACTAGATCATACAGAAAATAGAATCTCAGACATAGAAGAGAAAATTGCTGGCCTAGAAAAATCCTCCACGAAGACTGAGAAAACGGCCCTCAAAAATGAGAATAATATATGAGAAATAGTAGATACTATCAAACATCCAAACATTCGGATAATTGGTATCCCAAAAGGTGAAGAGACTCATAAGGGCATTGATAACCTATTCCATGAAATCCTGCAAGAAAACTTTCCAAACCTAGAGAGGCACTCAGAGATCCAGTCCCAAGAAATACAAAGGACCCCACCTAGAATCAACCCAAGATCTTCTCCAAGACACATTATAGCCAGACTGACCAAAACCACAGACAAAGACAAGATACTAAGATTGGCAAGAGAAAAACATCAAGTTACCTACAAAGGATATCCCATCAGGCTAACGACAGACCTCTCATTGGAAACAATGTGAACGAGGAAAGGATGGGAAAATATATTGAAAGTGTTAAGGGAAAAGCAATTTCAACCAAGAATACTTTACCCGGCAAGATTATCATATGGGAAGAAAAGACAAGAACATTCTCAGATAAACAAAACCTGAAAGAATTTACCAGCACCAGACCAGATCTCCAAGAAATTCTCAAGGGAGTACTATATCAGGAAAATTAGATATAGACACAGAGAAATAAGAGTTCAAAAACTAAGAAAATAGCCAACTTAATCATAGGGACAAGTCAGGAGTTGAACATTATATCCCAGAATTTAACTGGGAAGATCAAATCACAATAGAAGATTGATTAAGTACATGAGACCAAACTGGTGAAATAGCATTATATAATTTTTTTTTTTTTTTGGAGAGGTTTTCGCTATAGGGCGTGTGCGCTCTCCAGACAGACAGAGAGAGACATAGAGACAGAAAGTGAGAAATCACACCCCCAGGGGGGATGGTCACGCCGCAATCGACAAAATATTGCTGATTTTCTTCTAGGCTTTGTTGTCCGGTTTTAAAAATTTTTGTCCTGTCCTGAGGTGTCGATAGATTCATGAACTATTTAAACAGAATTCTAACCTGTTTCCTGGCTTTAAGTGTTAAGCAAAGTTCCTTAACATTTCTTTGATTTATTAAAGTTAAAACTGCTTTTCTTGAAACTACCAGCTGAACTGGCTATTGAAAGTAGTTAGATTATTTAATAAACTGTGTGATCAATAAAATGTGGAGGAAAGGAATGGAAGACAACTGTAGACACCAGAGATAGTGTGAGAAGAGGGTGGGAAAGGGCAGAGGGTCAAAAACAGGGGTTAAGGGACCAGCAGTTAATATAATGGCTATGTTGCTGGACTCCCATGTAGTCGACCGCGGTTCGAGTCCCGGACCCAGAGGCTTAAACTCACGCCAGGCGTGTGTGCATGCATGCCCAAGACCCCGAGAGGAGAATGGAGGAGAAGCGATTGTGGCGTGGCCATCCCCCCTGGGG